TTTTTTTTTTTTTTTTTTTTCTCAAGTTACCATATATCAGAGAGCATGTCCTGAACTTTATAAGGCCCTAGGCGAAATACTCTAAGTGTTGTCCTTGACTTTTTTTTTAATATAAAAAATAAAATGTAACTCGCAATAATAAAAGCAGAGAAAATTAAAATAAAGATATCGATAAATTTTATAAATAATATTTGATAAATTTCTTAAGAATCGCAAATAAAAAAAAAAGAGAAAATTATTTTTATTCAAAGAAGAAAAAAGCAGTCAAAGCTCCAAACTTTCATTTACTTTAAATATATGACAAAAGTTTAGTGAAATACATAATACTTAGTTATATAGATTTTCTTATTCAAAAGTATTAATTTTTAGCTTATATTTAACAAAGTTAAATAAAAATCAAAATTGAAACTCGTCTGAAAATGGTTGAATTCACTTAACCCTTTTACTGGCTATCACTAACATAATTGAATTATCCAATCATAAAATTTTGTATATTCAAGCAAGAAGAAAAAATTAGCAAAGTATTAAAAGAATAAATAAAAATATGCAAAAAAAAATAATTTCACTAAAAATAACTACTATTTAATTTTATTATGAAAATTAGAAGGTGGATGAAATATAAAAATCCTTGTTAAGAAATAAAAAAAATGATTTAAGATCAATTTTATATTCATATTTTATAATTAATATATATATATATACATATATTAAAAAATATATAAAAGTGGGTCCCTGGGTAAGAAGGTCCGGCGGTCGCCCGGCCCGCCCTACCCCAAGGCCGGCCCTACCATATACTACTCTTACTCTTTCTTATTCAATTCATATAATAATTGTTATAAAAAATATGTATTCTTTTTACTTTTAAATATTTATAATTTTGTCTTTTTGTTTTATTTTTTGTATGTTATATCTCAAAATAATCATATTTTAATGATCTTCGATTTGACATCCATAGTGCATATATAAAATAAAAAAGAATTACATCTATCATTATAAATAAAACTATATTTATTAAAAAAAAAAATCAAAAATATGAATACACATAAATTATCTTATAAGAAATATAATAAAAATCTAATTCAGTAATCAACCATAAATAATCATTCTAATGTGTTTTTACCATAGATTTTAAAAAAAAATAAAAAAAACTAAGTGAAAAAATACGGACCCCATTTTGAATTAATTATTACTTTGTTAGTTATTCATTATATTTTATATTCATTATACATAATTTTACAATATAAAAATAAATTA